AAACATTCTAGTTATAGTGCAATGTTTTATATATTATACGAATAACGTGCAGCATCATTCAATCGTTATAGTTTAACTAGGATAGGTTTTGTCTCTACCGTCAAATCGATCACAAAGCCATTCAGTGACCTACGTTATTCGTACATTACATGTACATGATAAAATTCTTGACATATCACATGATATTGAACATTATATTTTGGTAAAAAAAATAGTGCGATTTATTTGGCTACAAACATAACAGTATTCGTTTTCTGTTATGAATATTTACCGGCACCCATTTAATAGTACGCATAGGTAAATCCAGAACGCATGCGTAGTATACATTCTCAGTTGGCCTTATATTTGTTGTAATATAAAGCCCGTTCCTCTCGTTCGGTTTTAACCACTGTCACATCGTATTTGTATATTGAAGTACTAGTATAGAACGTAATCAGAGACGAATAAATTCTCTTTGAGTCGCGCAGTAATTTTGAAAACATTTATTTTTGTTCTTGTTTATGAACTTCGAATATTTGCTATAACACGCATTTTCCCCTTCGTCAGTCTGAATCTCGCGATTTCGCAAGAGTGTGAGCAGTTTTGATCAAATTGAAAAGCTTTGACTTGCGAAAACAGGAGGTTTTTCTTTAGCCAAACATCACACATGTAAATATGAATATACCTCAACTTTGGAGAAAAATAGGTTTCGTACTAAGTGACACTATTTTCACCATAATGGTTGCCAGGCGGTGAAAATGCCCGGATGTTTAACTGCACTCCCATCTATATTAATTGTAAACTTGAACTGCAAATATAAATTTTACGATTCCAACTCACCTTAAGATGATCATCATCTCGGTTACCATGATGCCAGACATCATGAGACTCATACTCGCGTTAAGGGTGATAAAGGCTATCAACATATTTTGACAAGGCTCGCCACACATCCCACTGGTCGCTACGCCCTCTACGATGAAGGTAGCATTGTCCCAGTTGTGATCTTCAAGTGCGCACTGACACTCAGTGAATGTCTAAAGTTCAAGATGGTTTCAAAAACAGTTTAGTCTTACAATTTAATCTGCGAACACGCGAAGAAGTGATTATTCTTGAATAATAAAAATATTTAATAAATACCTTGTTTCCAGAAGCCTGTGTGCACCCAGCATAACAAGGAGAATAATAAGTTATATTGTCCGATGCACACACTGGGTCATAGTTAGCTGAGCATGCGCATTGAGAGTTGCATGATGTTTTCAGTTGATTGATTGAAGTGTCGTCTGGCGCGAAGAATGGGCTGTGGAATATCAAGCAATGTCAGTTTCAATGTAAACAATTGCTGGTCAAATCAACAGTTATCATTTTAAATGATTATATTTATTTATTTATTTATTTATTTATTTATTTATTTATTTATTTATTTATTTATTTATTTATTTATTTATTTATTTATTTATTTATTTATTTATTTATTTATTTATTTATTTATTTATATAGGGTTTCTGAAGCTTTTGGGACTCGATTGTAAGATGTTACTAAGTTGAACGACTATTTCATGATTGACACCAATGCAAATGAAAAGGTGGATAACTCTATAAGGTAAAAAAGAAAAAGTAATTATGAATCAGGGAAAACAAAATGATGGGTCGCGAATGAATTATCTCCGTCTGGTGGACTTAAACAGTTTGTTTATGCACATGCGTTGACGAAGTTTGTTTCTTAGTACAATACATTTCGTAGAAATTCAAAGTGAGAACTCAGCATCATTATAAGTATTCAAGCAAGAGAAATATGCAAAATGTGTGTTCTGCATTCTGCAGTATAAATTGATTTTTAATTTGGTTTTCCCCGTATCGTGCTGAATAGAAAATTAAGAATTGTTGTTTCTAAATCTACATGAAGAATTGAAATCCCTGATTATTAACATTATGCCTGAGAGTCAGAAGCGATGATTTATGTGAGTTTATCGTACATTTAGATAGTTTGTTGTTCTATTCATATTCAAATGAACAGTGTATTGTTCCGTACTTTACGATTCAAAGATTCTAAAATAATTACGGTACGTTAAAGTGGGAGAGTCGTCACCTGTGCATGCGTCAGATAGCCAGAGCGAGGCATTGTTTACCAACAAGCGTCTACCCATGAGCCTTTGTGTTTTAGCGTGTGCTGTTTTCATCGCTTGGGACTCAATTCCCGCGCGTGCGCAGGTGACGACCCTCCCGCTTTAATGTACTCTAACTAAACATTGTTTATTATGTATTTAGGGATACCATTTTTCAGTGATATTTCTGAGTGTTTGCCAGTGAAGGCAATATTCATATAATTCAGCATAAGAGACTCTATCTGATTTAACCATGGCCTTTGACTTCTAACAACCTTTGAGTTATATTGTATTACAATAACATTGATTTCTATCGACAGAGCATTTCTGTGACGTAATGGCGTAAACAGATGAACGCATTGTCATTCAAACATTTTTGGTTTATGTAATAATTCATTTTTTAACATAGCGAATCTCTGCAAAAACAGGATCTGTTATAGACGAGCGACATTAGATCGAAACATATGTTATGAACTGAGTTTCTACATTTGCATCACAAAGGCGCTTGGTTGTGGGAGGGCACAATTGATGATATGAAGCATTCGTACCTATGATGATGAGAAGTAGTAACTCCAGCAAACTGTTCGGGGTCGCAACCAAGTTTCAGCAGCAACACTGGTACAATTGAGGTCCCTATGGCTAGTGCTACCACTAATTTCGCCATTTGAATTATAGTTGGATTCCAGCGGCGTAGAACTGAGCCAAACACAAGAAATCCAAAACAAGCAGGGGCAATAAGGCACCCGGCTGTAAAAAAAAAAAAATTAAAAGAAATAAAGTTAAATAAATTAGCATGTTATTGTTATGTTTCATATGTGATGTACGTTATGCTTAATTCCGCACTGATTCACAGTAATCATCACTATTATGTTCTAGATGTAATTAAAGTTATTGTTGATATTACCGTGGGTATATATTGCACATGAAATGATATCATGATAGTTATGTGATAATACAGTGATGTTATCTATGTGATATAAGTTATGTTGTATGTTACCAATGTAATATATATTATTATGCATCTATCATCGTACGCCATAAGTTACATATTGTCTTAATTTTGTGGTATTGCACTGGGTATCTGCATTCTATCATATTAGGAAATCTGATTTCTAAATATGGAATAATTACGTGATATCTCCTAAGATGCCAGACGTTCATAGAGAGAATATGCTAAAACGAGCTGTTGGATAAACTGGGTCATATTGTACATAAGGATGTGAATTACAACATACAGGTAACATAAATATATCGGATCGTTTTTTCATATCTTTTGTGGGTATAACAATAATATAAGGTACTATTTCGAATGTTTACAAAAGTATATTACTGTGTACACCACTATACTAGTAGTATAAAAAGCATGAGCTGTAATCTGGAAATAGTGCGGTTCAGTGTGGCCTCTAAGTAATGCTTCGTACATTGATATAACGATCTTGAAAAAAAAACATCTTACTATAGTGACATCTTACTATGGTGACATCTTACTATAGTGACATCTTACTATGGTGACATCTTACTATAGTGACATCTTACTATGGTGACATCTTATTATGGTGACATCTTACTATGGTGACATCTTACTATAGTGACATCTTACTATAGTGACATCTTACTATGGTGACATCTTACTATGGTGACATCTTACTATAGTGACATCTTACTATGGTGACATTTTACTATGGTGACATCTTACTATGGTGACATCTTACTATAGTGACATCTTACTATGGTGACATCTTACTATAGTTACATTTTACTATAGTGATATCTTACTATTGTGACATCTTACTATAGTGACATTTTACTATGGTGATATCTTACTATAGTGACATCTTACTATGGTGACATCTTACTATAGTGACATTTTACTATGGTGATATCTTACTATAGTGACATCTTACTATGGTGACATCTTACTATAGTGCTATCTTACTATAGTGATATCTTACTATAGTGACATCTTACTATAGTGACATCTTACTATGGTGACATCTTAATATAGTGACATCTTACTATAGTGACATCTTACTATAGTGATATCTTACTATGATGACATCTTACTATGGTGACATCTTACTATGGTGACATCTTACTATAGTGACATCTACTATAGTGACATCTTACTATAGTGCCATCTTACTATAGTGATATCTTACTATGGTGACATCTTACTATAGTGACATCTTACTATGGTGACATCTTACTATAGTGACATCTTACTCTGGTGACATCTTACTATAGTGATATCTTACTATGGTGACATCTTACTATAGTGACATCTTACTATAGTGCCATCTTACTATAGTGATATCTTACTATGGTGACATCTTACTATAGTGACATCTTACTATGGTGACATCTTACTATGGTGACATCTTACTATAGTGCCATCTTACTATAGTGATATCTTATTATGGTGACATCTTACTATGGTGACATCTTACTATAGTGCCATCTTACTATAGTGATATCTTACTATGGTGACAGCTTACTATGGTGACATCTTAATATGGTGACATCTTACTATGGTGACATCTTACTATAGTGACATCTTATTA